CCGTGGGCTGCAGAGAATCAACAAGGTGCTGTGGGGAGGCGGAAACGCCTATTCTGCAGATTTTTGGGAATGTGCAACAGGGGAGACCGCCAAGCAACCTTCCACCTGCAGCCTGCAGCCACCGCCAAGTCTGGATTTCCAGATCATTCAGCTGCTGCAATGGGGACAGAATCGAAGTTTCCTCCTGCAAAGGCCGCTGCTGCAGAGAATTCAGCAGCACCACAGTTGCCCATTCCAAAGCCAACAGGGCCGAACAAAGCAGCCAGGAATTCAACTCCTACAATTGCAGAGGTACCGGAAGAGGATGGCAATGCTGGAGGTCGCATGGATGAGAGCAGTAGTAGGAGGAGACGTGATGTTTTTGAAGATGAAGAGGACCTGTTCGGGTTCGAGTATATACCCGCTGACGTCTCTCCGCCTTGGTTCCCAAATCACCTTTGGGGCATTCCGGCGACCGTAGAGTGACAAGAATTGGTATGCAAGTTACAATACTGATGACATGGACCAACAGTGCCTTATCCAGTGCATGTGCAAGGCATCACAGCGTGGGCCAGCACGAAGATCAAGCTCAAGAAATACAAGGACAAGGATATATCCTATCATGAATTCCTTCTCAAGATCTTCAACCACGATGATGAGGCTGGACAATATGCCAAGTGGATTTTGGCACACTATGGGCCCAAGATTACAGCCACTCCAAAGAGCCAGGCACCAGATTTGGCCGCTTTCCTCAAGAAGATGAGAGTGGGCGCGTTTTTGGGAGCCACCACAACGCACCGCAGGGAGTTGATGACTGTGGACTTCGACAAGAAGCCCTGATCTGTTCAAGCTGCATGCATGCCGGAGTTTTTGCATGAACAATGCAGAGATGACTGCATAACTCAATGTATCGTTTTCAGATGCATGTCCGTCTGGATTTCCGGTTTGCTGGAACGATTGTTTTACAGGAATGCACAGTGCAATTCGAGATGATGTAATTTATTGCAATCACTGCGCGAGGCACTGTCTTTGTCAAGGTTTTTGGATTTCACTGCAACTGGGACCGGATGGACTGGCAATCTGATTTGAGTTTGAATTATGAATTCAACTGTACCACATACGTATTTTTGATGCGGAGGTCTGGACACTATACCCTTTGAGGTGATCTTTCCGGACAAGCTCATACATATTTGCATGGTCAATGCAACGTTGACGGATGTCTTGGCAAGAGGGGGTATGAAAGTACACCGGTTTGTGCCAAGCCATCGTACTGGATGTGTCTGGAAGGAGTGAATTCATCCATGACGGCCTATGGTGAATAGATTTGTTTTGGACAAGTCTCATCCACGGATGAGATATGATGTGTGGTTTTCAACATTTTCTGGAAGCTTGCATTCTGCATGCTGTTTTCGACAAGCCTCATTGACGGTTGAATATGTTTTGCGCAAAACAACGTTTGCTGGAAACTGGTTTTTGGAAGAGTTGCGGAACTTTGATGTGGAGATGATGGATGTTGGATTTGCCACTGCATGGCAATTTGGAATGACGTTTGTTATCTTCGCATGTGCATGCTCGACAACAAACTCCAAACCTTTTTCAACCTGGTTTTATTTCAACAACTTTGTGGACGAGAAGTTTGTGGAACTGGTTTTGTCTTTTTGCTGCATGTGAGCGACTGGGAAGTTTGTTTTTTCCGAATGAGATGATTTTCAACAACGTTTGCGTGGCCGCTTTTTCACTGAGAAATGGATGGCTTCGTTTTGGAATCTGATGCTCCAGCACGGTGCACGTCAACAGAAGAAAAGACAAAGCAGCTAGGTACAGCGGCTGCCAAATAGCCGGACAGCTTACTTTGGTTGTTTCGTGTCCTGCGTAAAAAGGTAAGAGCGAGGTCGAGTCACGGAATTTGAGTTTGGTTTGCTTGCGTGTTTTTGCAAGCTTTATCGGCATCGCCGCCCCTGCACGGACCCCGAGGGTAGGTCGACGCGCACGCGGCTAGTGGTTGTAAGTTGTAAGCCTGGATTTTTCGCTCAAATGGACAAGTTGGCCAAGTTGGCTTGTTGAGGAGTGCAGCGAAGCAACTCCCATGGAGATTGACCGTGTAGATGGTGGCAAAGGCTTGGAATCAGCACAAAGGCAAGGGCAAGAACCAGAAAGACAAAGGAAACAAAGGATCACAGAAAGGAAAGCAGAAAGGGTCGAAAGGCTCTTGGAAAGGCAATGGCAAAGATGGCAAGTCCAAGAACTGTGACAACAACAACAACAAGGGCAAAGGGAAAGGCAAACAGAACACTGGACAAGGCAAAGGAAAAGGAAAAGGAGATCAGAAGGTATGCTCTGCTATCGCTCCTGGACATTATGCCAAGGACTGTTGGAATGTTGTGCGTGCGGCCCAAACTGGTCAGGTTGTTGGAGCTCCAAAAATCAAGGACAAGGCGTGCAGCAACAGGCACAGCAATCTGGTCAGCAGTCGACACAGCACAGAGTTGCGCGCACTGCAGGTGACAGCTTTGATTCCTCTCCACATGTTTTTGATTTGCGTTCAGTCCCAACAAGCCCTAGTCAATGTGCCATGGGTGGTGATGACAGCGGTTTTTCAGCTGGTCATGTTCATGCAGTTGTAGGAGCAATTCCTGATGGCAGTGATGACATGCAATCAATTCTGCTTGACAGTGGCGCTGATGCAACAGTTATGCCACTGCGGTATGCCCAGGCTGGAGCTTCTTCTACAGCGGCCAAGCTGAAGCTGCATGATGCGCAGGGGAGAGAAATCCCTGTTGTGGCTATGGGGGATGTTGAGATGTCCTTGTTGGATCAGCATGGCCGTTTGGTGAACGTGAACATGGACCTATTTCTGCACAGGTTCATCAACCCATCATCAGTTTTGGGAAGCTTTTGCAATCATGTTGGGGTGTATGTGGCGTTGAGCAATCACTAGACCATGCGTAAACTGACACACGCATACCCATTGAGCTTCAGAACCAATCCATGGTGGTTCAAGGCTGGATCAGAACAATTGGGTCTTCATGGGATGATCAACCCATTCCCAATTCAATTCATGCTGTTCGAGCTGATGTTCTTGGCGGCATGAACAGAGGTGCAATTGGAAGGACTTTGAATGATGATGGTACAGGTGTTGGACGCCATTACATTACATGTGACCAAATCATGGACCCAATGGACCCAACATTGGTGCGTCTTGACATTTCTGGACAGCGCTACAGGACCACTTTGGTCAAGAACGGTGATGCGTGGTTTGTGTTGGAGTTATGTGAACCTCTGGAATGCATAGTTAACCCAGGGGCATCCTTCTATGAACTGGAAGGCAGCCGAGATGTGATCACCATCCTGGCTGATGCTGAGAAAGACCCACGTGTCATGGGCTTTGCTTTGGAAGGAGATGAAGGTGAACTTCAAGGCCAAGTTGAAGCCGATGGTGAACAGATTGATGTTGAGATCCTAGCACCAGAGGATGATGCTGAAGTTGAAGGTCAAGACTTTTGACCACGGTGATGCTGGAGTAGTTCCTCAAGGCGTTGATGTACAAGAGCAAATCATGGTTGCGCCTTCTCCGGAGGACAAGATCGCGGTGAATGGTGTGGAACTTACAGCTTTGAGCACTTTGGTTTTGCTTCGACAGGCATTGATGCTGTCAACTTCAGGTGGACGAGCAGCATGCTTCAACAAGTTGATCAATCACCAGAAGAAGATGTAACTGGAAGCAGTGCACTCTGCAGCCAGACATGCAGAGGGTATGATGCAACTTGATGCTCAAGCACCACCACTAGCTGAACTTCCTTCTCAGAAAGAGCAAGACAAGCATTGCCTCACACATGTTCCCTATGAACCTTGGTGCTCTTCTTGCGTTGCTTTCAGGGCTCGAGCAGATCGACATATGAGAGATGACAGCACACATGCAGATGCTGTTCCCACCATTTCCTTTGATTTCTGCTATACAAAGATCGTTAGTATGCTTGGTCAAGGTGTGTTCTCAAACAGGGTACATTCACTGTACTCCAACCAAGCAAAAAAACCAATTTGACTTGATGGTGAGAGAGCTGATCACTTTCAGCCAACTACTTGGACGCACTGACCTCACCTTCATGGCTGACAGTGAACTGACGATGAGACGTACAGTTGATGCGCATGGCAGTGAACACACGATCAACAAGACCACCAACATATTTACATTGCAACAGTCTTGTGGAGAATGCCATAGGCAGGGTGAGACAACTTGCTGGATCATTTATGCATGCTCTTGGTGAAAAAGCTTGGAATTGAAATTTCAACTTCAAGTCCTATTTGGACATGGGCCATGAGGCAGGCGGCATGGGTCATCAACAGATTCAGTGTGACAGCAGCGCGTGGAATCACAAGCTTTGAACTGCTGAATGGCAAACCATATGTGCTGGAAAGGTATAACAAGTTGGTGAACTGGTTTTTGGTTTTCAGAAGAGCCACTCAAAAGGCAACCCACGTTGGAGACGTATGGTGTTTTTGGGCAAGATTGACCCGCAGGACTCATACTTGCTCTACAATGGAACTCATTTGGTTTTGGCAAGGTCTGTCAGAAGGATCAACACTTGCTGGAAAGGTCATTTGGCGTTTTACTTTAACTTCAGCTGTGGCTCATATGAGTACAGGAGCAGCTTTGGTGGAAGAGTGGTGCCAACAAAGAGCAGTCGTGCACCCAGTGCTCCTGGCTTCAACCCTCCAGTTGGAGATGTGGAACCTTCCAAGTTCTTTGATGAGGACGCTGAGGCAGTCAGGCAGAAAGCTCTTCCGCAGCAGCGTGAGGACTATGAAACAGCCAGCATGGCCATCCACGACAAGCAGAACCCTATGCAGGAGATGGAGCAGCAGCCGCAGGTTGGACTTGAAGATGCAAGTGTGGTACAGCATCCCAATCCAATTGGCATTTTCGATGATGCAGTGGAAGGAGGAGATGAACAATCTCTTTGGCAAACCCAGCGTTGGGGCTTCCTGGTCCTGCTACACCTCCTTCTTTCTTCGAAGTGCCAATGACTCCTCCTGTCATAGCACCTTCAAGCTCAGCAGCGGCAGCAGCAGGCTCAACTGATGTGCCTGTGACTCCAAGGACAAACCTAACAACCAGAGCCCATGGTGAGGAGGAGACGGCTGATGAACAGATCCACAAGAAGGCCAAGGTGGAGGACACAAAGAAACCCAGGCTCATGCAATTGAGTGAGCAACATTCAGCAATGACCCGTGCAGTGAAGTTTGATGATGGATCAGAATTTCATACGAAGGACGACTGCAGCCAGGACCTCAAGATGACAGATCATGCGGAAGATGAAGATCACTGGCAAGATGATCCATCAGCATCAAGCTTTGCAGGTGTTCCTCTGCAGTTGTGGTCAGATGCTGATATCAATGTGAAGCCTGAAGAACCTCCACAGTGGATTGATGATTTGGCCGGTGAAACAGAGCTATCTCGACTCACCAGCATGGGTGTTTTCCAGCGTGAAGCTGACTATGATGGCATTGCAGAAAAGAGCCATCAGCTGAGCACGAAGTTTGTCAGGGACTGGTGTCTCAAACAGTTTGGTGATGGAAATGAAGGTGAGCCAACACTCAAATGGCTTCGTCGCAGCAGGCTGGTAGCTCGAGAATATGCAGTCTTGGAAGACGGCAAGATGTCTACTCACCAGCTTCAAGCACTCATGTTTTGAACCTGCTACCTTTACTTTGGCTTCAACGATGTGGTGATTTGAGTGATGTTGCAGGAGGAGTTTCATGCAGTGATCAGGTTATGGCAGCTTTGGACATCAAGGATGCGTTCCTAGAAGTTCCTCAACATACTCCATTTAGCATCAAACTTGCAGGTCAAACATGGGTTGTGCATCACTGAGCTTGCTCAGTGTGTCTATGTGAAACCAAGTATTGGCCGGGTGGGAGGGTGGGGATCACTGAGTTGATGGTTTCTAGATTCTGTTGTTTCTGCTGTCTCGATTTTCAGTTGATTTGTTGGCAGTGCCTTCGACAATTGGCAGTTTGCAATCAACAATCCTTTGTGGACTTCCTGCTGTTGGCCGACCATTTCGTTTTGGTGATTTCAGTTTACTTACAGTTTATTTCTGTGCTGCTTTCAGATGTCAGTTGAAATAACGAAACCGTTTCGACAGTTTTGACTTGTCTGCATTTACAATCTGGATGTTAGTGAACGCTTTGAAGATTTCCTGGAAGATTTTCGCTGAACTTTGATGCAACGTCAGTCACGTTTTTGGATCATCATTTGAACAATACATACTTCGAGAAGCACTGGCTTCAAAATCAGTTTGAGGTAGGTGGGGGCGTTTTACCTTCCAATCTCGATTGGACGTAGATCCATGGTTCTTTATGGATGTTGCATGGCCTGCTGTTGAACCAGGGTTGCTCAGTTTCTTGCAGCGCGTCTTTGTGACCCCTCTGCGTTTGGACGCAGCAGCATTCGATGGAGAGATCGATTGCGAGGAGGTGCTGGTTGCAGCCTTTCCTCACATGGTTGATGAGGAGAGGCGGGATGCCACTGCGGTCTTGATGCAGTGGAAGGCAGAAGTCAGCAGGCCATTGAAACGAGTGAGGATGGCAACAGTGTCGTCTGCCATGCACGTGCTCCCATTACCTGATGTTTTGAATGTACAAGAGGAGTACCACGCATTACAAAGACAAGTGTTCACTGCATTTTGGAAATGCATTCGAAGCGTAAGCAGAAGAAATATAAGGAAGATGCACCAGATGTTCGGTCCAAGAAGTTTGAATCGGAGAGGAGGAAGTATTCATTGTTGCTGGCTCAGGTGATGATCAGTGCTCAGTTGCCAGTTGTGGCTCTCATTCAAACTTTGGATGACGCCAACTCTGCGTGGATCCACATTTTTGCTGCGAGGAGGGCCAACACCTTGAAGTCCAGGTACAAGGTCTGGAAGCCATTTGAGAAGTGGCTGGAAATGCATCGGGGTTACCTTTTTCCCCAATCTGTAAAGGATGCCATCGATTACATGCAGCACAGGGTCGACAATGGTTGTGGTCGGACAGTTCTGGAGTCACTGAGCATCACTCTGTGCATGTTGGAACAACTTGGGAGAGTGCCGGACTCTGCAAAGATCTCAGAGGATCCCTTGTGGAAGGGGCACATCAAATCATGGACGGCGGAGCTCAGTGAGGAGGCACCACCGAGGAAGCCGGCAGAGATGTTCACGGTCGCAATGGTGATTGCTTTGGAACTGCTTGTTGTGGAAGAATCTGAACCGATTTTTACCAGGGCTTTGGCATGGGTGCTTCTTGTGATGATCTGGGGCGCCATGAGATGTGATGATGTCCAGGCAATCATCCCCAGGCGTTCCTTCCTTTCAAATTTTGGTTTGAAGCTGATTTTGGGGAAGTCGAAGACGACTGGACCGGACAAGGTTCAGAAAGAGGTGGCAGTGCACATCTTCCGCACTGTCTCCTTGACTGGAGAGGATTGGTTGAGGAGTGGCTTCAACATCTGGGAGTCAGAGGAGTTCAGCTTTCCCAGAGACTATATGGTGATGGAGCCGAGCAAGGATTGGACGAAGGTGAAGCGTAAATTTGTCACGCCATCAGGCCTCAGCTCCTTGATTTCGAAGTTGCTGAGCACACTCAACTGTCCGAAGCGATCTGGACTTGGATGGGAATTGATGCCCCATGTCCTTCTGCTACCAGATGGCTTAGAAGAATTTTTCTCGGGCCACAGTGCAAGGAATTTCTTGACATCGATTGCAGCAGTCATTGGGTTCTCTCGCGATGAGAGGGCATTTCTAGGACGGTGGTCAATGGGTATGACTTCATCAGAGGAATATGTCAGAACGTCGAGACAGGTGGTCTTCAAGATCCAACGGGCGGTCAATAGATCTCTTGTGGAAGGGATGGATGAAGTATACTACGAGGATGAGCCTATTCAGAGGCTTTGCGATGCAGCTGAGAAGGCTGGGGCGAATCCCAACCGCATCAAGGAGAGACATTCAGTGCTTTCTGACTGGGGCGGAAAACATTCACTTGGAGGTGTCTACCCGACTTTGACCCCTCTTGAGGGTGATTGGGATGATCGTGTGGACGGAGATGGAGATGAGATGGATTTGGCAGCTAGGGTTGCCGACATTGCCCAGAAGGACACAGTGGGCGATGTCCATACTGCAAAGTACTTCATCACGATCTCTCGAAGAACTTGCTTGAGACGTTTGCATCTCAGTGGATGTTTTGTCAAGCCTGACAGGTGTTGCGAGGTGTCGTATTTAGATCAAGTGACTTCAGATGATTTTGATTCAGTGTGTCAAGCATGTAAGAAGAAAATGGTTGCAGAATGTGGCCGTGGGAGTGGGGAGCAGTCCTCATCGACGGCGTCGTCGACATCCACGGCTTCGGAGGCCGACAGGGATGAAGTCCCAATGTGAACTGAGCGGTCCGAGTGGAGTGAAAACCTGGGCGGAGTTTGGGAAAGATGTTCAGACATCTTGATTCCTGTCGGTCGTTGTGTTGAGGTGTTTCTTTTCTTTTCGGTCGAGGCTTCTTAGGTAGGAGGTCTGTCGTGCTCGGTTCTCTTCTTCTCCTTTCGCTTTCGGTTCGAGGCTTCTTAGGTTGCCGGGTTTCACATTGCGTGATGTTGACTGGATTGCAGTTCGTTTGATGTTGTTTTGGTGTTGTCTGGAGTTTCATGTTTGATTTTCAGAATCAGCTGCGATAGGGACAGAACTTGGTTGGAAAGAGCGTTCAGACGCGACACACTGTGATTGAAACGACATGTTTAGACATTGTCCGTGACTGATGGTTCAGACCTCAGGGTACCATCCAGTCAAGATTAAAGACAGCATTTGTGCAGGTTGTCAAATTTGATCGAATCTCAGATCTGTCTGTGGTTGGCATTGGCTGTTTCAGTCCTCTCTGACCCCAATGCCAGGTTTGCGGCTAGGGCCCCAAATGTTTGACCCCATTGCCAGGTTTGAGGCGTAGGGCATGTCTGTTGTGTGTGTTTTCATTTTCACTCTCGCCACACGAGTGGGTCTTTTGACCGAGCCATGGACCCAGTCGCACAGAGACAGTTTGTTCAGACGAACATGGACTCAGATTTGCAGTTCATTCTTGGAGAGTCAGGAGTGACGTTAGAACATCAAGTTGCAATTGCCAGGCACTATGGAAATCTCAGGAAGTTCACAGCTCTAGGTGACGACAGGGCATCCATCAGGACGTCATGTTTGCAGGACTTTGCAATCACGGCTGACACCCCAGAGCGTAGATCACAGATTGCTTCCATTGTAGCTGCATGGGAAACTGCAAAAGAGTACATGTCGAAAGAAGTTGAACTCAAAGCAGAAGCCAAAGTTTTAGGGCAGCCACGTGTTCTTCAGATCCATGAGAGGCAGGCTATGCTACGTGCTGTTGAAACGATTCACGGAGTCCTAGGGGATTCAGAATGTCCTTCACCGGACTACCTTGCGATCAAGGCAGAGGAAACTGAATGCAACGAGCCTACGGCAGCACCTCTTGATGAGATTTTGAGTAAGCAGTCTTCAAGCAACTCTGTTATTCAGTCAGCTGTCGACAACACTGGGCATATCCGAGTGACCAGGACGAAAGCCAAGGCAAAGATGCCGACAACGACGGAGGAGTACAGGAAGACTATGAAGGTCGAGGCATATACTTGGTTGTGCATGGCTTCACGTTACAAAGCTAAGCACTGGTTGCATGGTTTAACAATGGAGCCCTTCTTGAAGTTCACCGAGTATATTTTGGGGGATCGAGTGTTTGGAATCCAGATCCCAGCGGCTTCTGGGGAAGCGTCACAACAGAAAGTGCGGCCTGAATGGTCGATAGTTCTTGCTTACGAACAAAAGCTCAGGAAGGAGGCCATGAAAAAGGTCTTGGAGGGACACACATTGAGTGAGTCATTGCTTGCCGTTATCAGGGACCCCGACTTGAAAGAGGCGTACTTCACCACGCCGGTGTCCCTCAGATCAGCCTTGTCGGAGCCTCAACAATCCAACAAGTGGCCACGGTTCAACAGCAAAGGGGGTTTCAGTGGCAAACAGTCTTCAAGCTTTTCAAAGGGCAAAGGAAAACATTCCAAGGGCAAATCAAAGGGCAAACCCATTGACCAGCGATTGAAGGGCCTCAGCCTTGCATGGCGGACACCGGATGGCCGTGAGCTCTGTTTTGCTTGGAATGGTGGTGATTGTGACGGTTCATGCGGTAGAGTACATCAATGTCGTGTCAAGGGATGCTATGGTTCACACAAAGCAATTGACCATAGCAAAAACCAGGGCTCATGACAGGCAGACAGTGTGGGCCTTCCCAGCAGTCCCACACGGAGCCAAGCAGCGAAACCCATTTTGAAAGTGGTTTACGTTTTTGCTGGGAAAAGAAGGCATTCTGATGTTGCGGCATTCTTGAAGAAAGCTGAAACTGAAGGAGGCGTTCAGGTCGAGTTGCATGAGTTTGACATTGAACGGTCCCCACAACATGACTTGACAGACAATGCGTTGTGGGACAAGATTTTTGATACCCTCAAAGAGGGGAATTGGGTTTTGATTGTATCACCACCTTGCAACACGTTCAGCAGAGCACGTTTTCAGAATCGACGTCACCCTGGCCCAAAGCCGCTGAGAACGAGGATGTGGCCTCGAGGTTTTCCTTGGCTGAGTGCGGCACACAGGTCGAAGGTCGACGAGGCAAACACTTTTGTGGACAGGTGCATTCATGCTTGTCAACTTGTGTCCGAAGCTGGTGGTTATTTTTTTTTGCTAGAACATCCTGAAGACCTGGGCACAGTTGAGGGTGAACAACCAGGCTCGATTTGGCAGTGGCCTGAAGTTTTGGAACTTATTCCTTATTGCAATGCAGTTTCATTTGCAATTCATCAATGCCATTTTGGAGCTCCAACTCCAAAGCCTACGCGTTTTATGACAAATATGGAAGTTGCTGACAAGCGTTGCTACGTTGCTCTGCCGAAGTTCGACAGGTTTGGATTTTACAAAGGCCCTTTACCAAAGAAGTGTGGTCACCATCACACCAAGACCCTTATTGGGAAGACAAATTCTCAATGGAACACTGCACCTAGTGCTGCTTACCCCCCTGGCCTTTGTCAGTTTATTGCAGATTTGATCCGTTATGCTTGCGCATCCTTCGGAAGGGGCGGAAGGGTCAAATCTTCTGGAGTCAAGAGAGATGAGAAAACTGGTGAACAATCACCTAACAAAAAGGCAAAGATTTCTTCTGCAGGACCAATTCAGGTCATACCTTCAGATTCTGATGATGAAGGAGGCAGTGCCTCTGGGGCTTTCCAGACATCAACAACACATGCAGGGACAGCTACAACAACGGGAGTCTTGAAAGGAGCCATGGATGCAACAACAGTTTCAACAACGGTTGCATCAGCTGATGTGGAACTTACAGTTGTTGAGGATGCGGAGTTTGACATTGGAGCATGTCACAACACTGGAAAACCTATTACGGTGGAATGGGATAGAACTTGCAAACACTTTACTGATGGGTTTGGCTTGTGCAGCCCAGGCAGGTGGCGTCCTCAACAGACAGGCACGAGGAGGAGCCCTAACATGGTGCAGTTGGCTGACAACACTTTCAACTGCCTGGCAGAATGCGTAGCAGCTGAGATCCCAGACCTTAGGTTATTGGCTTTTAAACTGGTCACAGGTAAGCTTCTGAAATCACCTTTTTCTGAAAGTGCTTTGACAAGGGTGCGGTCGAAGATCTTTGACCTTTTACCAGATCCACAGGATGCGAAGGTGGTCGACGAGGGTCAGCCATTTTATTTACGGGCGGTTGCGAGAGTTTGGAGACGCAGATGCAAAATGGTTGGTTGACGAGAAGGATTCTTTTGCAACAGGAGTTTGTTTGGGGGTGGAGCAGCCTCTACCGAGGTCACCTCAAGTTTGTCCCCCCAAGGTTAAACACAGGCGTCTGGATGAAACTGAGTTTTTGGCGGTGGCACAGAATTACCCGTCAGCACAGATTTCTGCAAAGGAGCTGGAACAGAAATTCCGTGAGGAGGAGGATTTGGGCCGAATGCACCCCTCCAAGATGGGGGTTCTCCGTGAAGAATTTGGTGACCGCCTTCGGATTGCTTCAATGGCGGCAATACAGAAGCCAGACGGCAGTGTCCGTCCACTTCACGATGCGACTCACTCAGTGATGGTTAACCACGCCATCCAGTACCAGGACAAGATTGAGTGTCCTGGCCCTGCCGAGATTGCGGCCATTGTCAGGGAGGCAACTGAGACTAAGGAGGCACCTTTCTGTGTGAGTGCAGACATACGTGCGGCTCATAGGCTGGTGAAAATAAGGAGATCCGATTGGGGTTACATGTGTTGCAAAGCAGATTCCAATTCGGACACAATCTGGGTCAACAGGGTTGGAACATTTGGCGTATCAAGCGCGCCGTACTGGTGGTCAAAATTGGCTGGGCTGATTGGCAGGTTTGTTGGTTACCTGTTTCATCAGCCTTGGATGATGCACATGATCTATGTGGACGACCTTCATGGGGTTTTTGCTGGTGAATCCAAATTCCTTTTTCTTTGGGTCTGGCTTTTGGCGTTTGAGGTGGCGGGGACGCCATTTGGATATCACAAGTTCAAAGGTGGTTTTGCTTCGGAGTTTGTGGGGTTCCAGATTCGTTACGACCTAACTGAAGTTGGCATCTCAACCAAGCGGGGCACTTGGATCATTGACTGGATTGACCGTGCAAAGGCCAACAGGTATGTTATTCAGGCGAGTGACTTCGCAGAGTTCTTGGGGAGGCTTGGATTCATTGCACAATTGCTGGTGTGGCTTAAGCCGCATCTTTCTCCTCTCTTTTCATGGGCTGCAGTGACGGCGGCAGGAACTGTTTGCAGACTCCCTGACACGGTCATCTTGACATTGCAATACATTGCCAACGAGTTCAAGCGGGAGACGTTTTTGATTTCAGCTTGCAGGCCTCAACATTTCCGGGGGGAGCGTTTCAGGACAGATGCAAAGTGCACAACTGAGTTTGTGGTACTGGCTGGATGGGAGATTGGTACAAAGAGATGGTTTTCTATCAAACTGGGTCCAACGGAAGTTCCGTACCTTTTCAAACCTGGCATTGGAGCACAGTGGGCTTCAACTTCAGCAGAACTGCTGGCATCATGGCTGGCATTACACATGTTTGGTTGGCTTGCTGAGACGAGAGAAAGGAAAGCTATTGAGGTCTCCCTGGTAGGAGGTACTGACATCAGAGCCAATGAGTCATTGACTAGCAAGAGGTCCACGACACGGTGGCCACTTATGGGGATCAACATGCAATTATCCTCAGCGCTGTCTCGAGCGCGACTTAGCCTGGGGTTACGGTGGAGACCCCGGGATGAAAACACTGAGGCCGATCAGCTCACCAACGAAAATTTTGAGGGGTTTGATGACAAGCTTCGTTTACATGTTTGCTGGTCCACTTTAGATTTACAGGTCTTGGAAGGTCTCCTGCGTACGAGGGAGGAGTTTGAAGCAGCGCGTGCAACAGCACGGGAACTGGCAAAGCAGGCGCCCAAAGTTGGAAGTAAGAAATTTGATAAGTCCCCGTGGTGAAGGGAATTTACAATGGCTGCTTGCTCCACTGGCCTCCTCTAAAGTTGGGGGAGTTGAAAGGAGACCACTGGAACAATGACTGGTGAAAAATTTTTCAGTTAACAAAGGTGATGTGTTCACCTTCACTGCACTACAGCTTTTGCAGAACAGGTGTTGGGCACAACCATTCATTTGTGGCGGTTTGCCACGCACCTTGAAGAGGATTGATGCGTGAGACACCACCACTTGCTGAACAAAAAGAGTGAGAGCCTTTCAATCGGTGATGTCTCCACAGTTGTGCTCATTTCATTTTCAATTGGATGTCAGTTTTTGCAATCATGTCCACATTTCCGGTTCTGCAGTGTTGTCGTTGACGGCGCGTGGTTTGTTGGCGATTCGCGTTGGTATCGCGTAAGTTTCCCCATTACTGGTCCCTCTTACCTTTCCAATACTTTGTGTAGCGTAGGCATCACTGAGCTTGCTCAGTGTGTCTATGTGAAACCAAGTATTGGCCGGGTGGGAGGGTGGGGATCACTGAGTTGAGTGTTTCTAGATTCTGTTGTTTCTGCTGTCTCGATTTTCAGTTGATTTGTTGGCAGTGCCTTCGACAATTGGCAGTTTGCAATCAACAATCCTTTGTGGACTTCCTGCTGTTGGCCGACCATTTCGTTTTGGTGATTTCAGTTTACTTACAGTTTATTTCTGTGCTGCTTTCAGATGTCAGTTGAAATAACGAAACCGTTTCGACAGTTTTGACTTGTCTGCATTTACAATCTGGATGTTAGTGAACGCTTTGAAGATTTCCTGGAAGATTTTCGCTGAACTTTGATGCAACGTCAGTCACGTTTTTGGATCATCATTTGAACAATACATACTTCGAGAAGCACTGGCTTCAAAATCAGTTTGAGGTCCCGCCCGACCCATCCCTTGGGTTGTGGCACCATGCTCACGCATCTCAGGGGGAGTTGAAAGGAGACCACTGGAACAATGACTGGTGAAAATTTTTTCAGTTAACAAAGGTGATGTGTTCACCTTCACTGCACTACAGCTTTTGCAGAACAGGTGTTGGGCACAACGATTCATTTGTGGCGGTTTGCCACGCACCTTGAAGAGGATTGATGCGTGAGACACCACCACTTGCTGAACAAAAAGAGTGAGAGCCTTTCAATCGGTGATGTCTCCACAGTTGTGCTCATTTCATTTTCAATTGGATGTCAGTTTTTGCAATCATGTCCACATTTCCGATTCTGCAGTGTTGTCGTTGACGGCGCGTGGTTTGTTGGCGATTCGCGTTGGTATCGCGTAAGTTTCCCCATTACTGGTCCCTCTTACCTTTCCAATACTTTGTGTAGCGTAGGCTCAAGAACCTTCCTGGCCAACGACTTGGTGCACGTGCGTGGTATTGGTACTTGCGTGAGTTTTTGGATGAGACCATGAAGTTTGAATTTTGCAGTGTTCAACCATGCTTGGCACGTACCTCAGAATGTGCCATTCTCATCCATGTGGGCGACATCATGTATGTTGGAAGCCTCAAGTTTTGGAATGAGTTCAAGGAGAAACTTCAACAGCGTTTTTCAGTCAGTTGCTCTGCTTTGGAAGGCGTTGGAGCAGAAATCTCTTTTCTGAAAAGAAGGATCTTGCGTGTGGAAGATGGTTTGGCTTTACTCCCAGGCAGCAGCATTGGGAAGTCAATCAAAGTTTGGGAAGAAAAGTTTGGCAAGCTGCGCTCTTCCATAACTCCCGCTGATCCTGCAATTCAAATGGAAGACAGCTCTCCTTGCTTGGTCGGAAGTGATGTGACCTTTTTCAGAATGGTTGTGGGCACATGTTTGTATATCACCCGTGATCGACCAGATGTTGCATTCACGGTGAAGGAACTTTCAAGCTAAATGAGCAACCCCACAGTATCAGCGATGAGACATCTCAAGAAGCTTGTTTCCTATTTGAAGGGAACCAGCCACTATGCAGTTGAGCTTCAACAACCTCATGGAGGACAAGGCTTGCACAAACAGACCAAAGACAAATACTGGCTTTTGGAGTCCTTTTCTGACAGTGACTTGAGCAGTGACAAACGACATCGACGCTCTACGTCCGCAGGTCTTCATATGCTATGTGGCAATTTGGTTTTTCAAGCTCACGTACCCAAGGGTGATTTCTCTTTCAAGCTGCGAGGCTGAGTTACATGGAATGGTTTCCACCCTTTGTGACGGCATCTTCTTCAAGCGTTGCGCTGAATTTGTGATCAAGGGCTATGTTGAGCACATTTTGCTGACTGACTCTTCCAGCGCACGTCAACTGTGCTCACCCCAGGCACAGGGAAGGTGGAGCACTTGAGTGCCAAAATACTGTGGATTGCCCTGAGCCAAATCAGCACAGCCTTCAATGTTGCTGATTTCGGCACTAAGGTGTTGTCTTCAAAACGCCTGAAGATTCTTCTCAGGGACATTGGCATCTTTGACGATGATGGTGCCAACCCAATTCAAGCTGAAGAACGTCGAGGTGGAGATGACCGAAACTTGAATCAACAAATGATGCACGTCTTGCACTTCTCATGGGCCTTGAGCCTACCACTGGCGCTACCCCTATGGTTTTTCCGGTTGGTGAATGTGCAATTGATGTTTCAGCTGGCACTTGTGCGCCAGAAGTTCATGATGATGATCACTCAAGGTTGGTCTACGTGATTTTGTTTGTGTGGTGCACAGCCATGGCTCTCTTGCTTGCAGCAGCAGTTTGGATGGGCATCAAGCGGATTCGCGCAATTGAAGCTGATGCAGGCCATCTTGCACTACAAGTTGCACAGGCTGACACAACTCTTGGTGAATATATGGCGGCAATTCCAGAAGTTCAAAGATCAGTTGGACAGGTGCGCAACCAGGTGACTGAGACTTCAGGGTCACATGGAAATGCTGGCAGACTCAGTTGATGGAATCCATTGCGGTTTGGTGGAAATTGGAGGATTTGCCCAGCATCGAGAACTTACTCCTGTTCAGCGACATCATATGTTTACAGTTGAGCAAGGCAACAGAGTAGCCATGAATGCCATGGGACATGCCCGGTATATGAGTGCAATCAGGCACCAAAGCCGAGGATTTGCATGGGCTGGTGGATGACACTGACCCACCAGCAGCAACAGCAACGACAGCAGCCTCTTCAAGCAATGACCCTGGAGTTTGGAGTGGAGTTGTTTATGGAGAAGGAGGTGAATCAGAATCTGAGAGGACGGAGGATCACCTTCTGAACCCTGACCGAGACATTTCGACAAGGCAGGGTGAACTTGAGACCTCCATTGACGACTTGCACCTTCAACTCAATGTGGCACTTGCTGAAGAGAACTGGAGTGACGCAGGTGAAATCCAGAGAACAATTTTGATGTTGCTGGACCACACACACAATCAAGGCATCAGAGTGTTTCGAAGGATTGCAGATTCCTTCAGGATGATGGCAACCAGAGGGGAAAGACACAACAGTGGAACCATAGCCAGGCACAGAAGCTTCGAGGATGTTTACCGCTCCAGGACATGACAGCCCATTTTGGGCAACTACTTTGCTTTGTTTGGATGCCCGTGAATGTGCGCAACTCCCGGTAACCATAATGCTCACTTGGAAACCCAATATGCTACAGCTACAACAATTCCAAAGAGCTACGTTGCAAAGTGCCAGTCAGGACGTTTGCAAAACTGCAAAGAGGGCCATATGCAAGACTCCGCACAGAGAATATTTTGGGATTCAACTTTACTTTCCGTTTTGGAAAACGTGTGAAGGCGCAATGGCGGTGAAAAAATCTGTGAGCAGCAAGGTGAGTTTGAACTGCACCGTGCTGAGGAGGAGTGTGAAAGTTTTCTGTCAGCGCCCCACCGTTGGAACGCAGATGCATGGCCACTGCACAAGGATGACGGGCACTTCAATCGAGACAGTTGCATTTTCACTTCATGACACGTGAAATCCACATGTTTGCATTCAGGCCCTGAGGTCCAAGTAAAAAGGTGTGACTGCCAGCTGTTTCTTCGCAGATTCGTTTTTGAGTGTTTGCCCCGTGTTTGTATTGCAATGTCCAAATCAGATGTGCAACATGTTTTTTGCCGCACAAATACACGTTGCCAATGATTTGTCTCGGGTTTATTTCGAACTTGACTGTCCCACCGAAGGGTTTAGTTTCATCTCGCATTTGCGTTGCTACGCCAAATTGCAATTAGATCAATTACACGGGAAACATGCCAACCAATGTTTGCAAGATGTCGCATTAGTTGTGTTGATGATGCAGTCATTTTTTTCCATCATAGATTGGGCAGTTGCAATGAAAACTCTCATAGCCTATTGCCAGACATGTTTTTTTAGTGTCACTTTCATGCACGGATGATAATGAACAAAAACGATTTTGTCAAATATTGACTGAACACATTCTATGTTCATTGTGTTTCTTGCATTTGATGTCCATTGAGTCGGCCGGCATGTATTTATGGAATTTTCATTGTAGACCTGATGGCTTTAAATCCCTGAATATTTTGATGGGGTACCTTACTCCATCAGTGCAGAAAAACGTAGATTTGTATTTAGGACACCAGCAACGAACTGCAACAGTAGTGTGTTACAATGTTCGATTTGAATGAAATTCCAATTTTATCAGAGATGGTATTGAAGACAGATTCAGCAAACCAAAAAAAATCACGCTGGATTTACCTTCTGTGGTTTGCAACACACGCCTAACTTTTAAACAAAGGTGTTCAGGGGTTTTAGTGAGTACGTTTGGAAGATATTTCACAATGTTGATATATGTTAATGTTAATTCATTTTTTTGCGTTTTTACTTGGAACCAAATGCAATTTGTCCGTTTGCGTCGATTCGTCCTCGGGGATGAGCAATGAAAAGGCACGGAAAATGCAGTTTGGTGCATAGGCAATAGCAACAAATCATGTTGTAGAACAACCATTATCTCAGTTTCCATGTCGTTTCAAATGGCGAATTGATATTTTATGCATTGTTTTCGTTCTTTATTCTGAAACCTTGCTGTCAGCCAGCGGTGATCATTGACAATGGCTCCGGGCATGTCAAGGCCTCCTGCTTTCATCACTTTTGCTGAGAACCTGTTTAGATTTAATTCAGACCTGTTTCCTTTGCGTCCAATGAACGTTTCCAGGCTGGAATCGCTGGTGAAGAAGCCCCACGGTGCATTTTCCCTGCAGTGGTTGGAAAACCGAAGCATGGTGTGATGATGCCAGGACTTGCCACGTAAATACGTCGGATCTTGTTTCGAATTGTCTCAAACTCAAATGTATGCAAGAAACGGTGAAACGTTAATAAACATTGTCTCAAATGTGTAGCAGTTGCATTGTAGATTCAACACTTTGAATTGAAAGGAACCGACAAAAGAGAGTATTATTTGGGGGAAGCAGCAATCGCAAAACGCGGTGTGCTGACACTATCATATCCAGCTTGGGCCTTACAAACGCAACATACCACTCCAAATTTCTGTGTTCAGGTCCATCTTGCTTGTTTAGGACACATGTTTGATGGATTCATCGTGTTCAAGTTTCTCTTTGCACTGTTGCAGATGTGGTAGGTCTCTTCTCAGGGCTACAAACCCACAATCACGATGATGAAAATTGAAGTGAACAGTGATAAATTCAAGCGTGGTTACAAACCGAGATAGAACATGGTGTCGTGAAAGACTGGTCTGAGATGGAGAAGGCAGGTGCTGCAAAACTGCAGGGTGAACCTAGTCTCAGTCTTTCCACATTTGATAGTGCAGGTCTGGCATCACACCTTTTTCGATGCTTTGCGTGTGAATCCTGAAGACCAACCGTGCATTGTCAGCGAGGCACCCTTTCAACTGATTCAATTTTGAGTTGCAGTCCCACTTGCTACACAGGTGATGTTGGGTTTTCAGTCTTGGGACGTTGCCTTTTTCAGGCTCCTTTGAACCCCAAAAAGAACAGGGAGCGCATGGTTGAGATGCTTTTCGAGAAGTAAAGTCCCTGGATTGCTCAGCATAGATCCATGGAGTTGATTCTTGAAGGCTGTGCTATGTCTGGAAATCAAGAGATAGTTTTGAGTTTGTTCTGTTTGAGATTTCTCAAGCGCACTGACCTTCTTTGTTTCCTCCTGTTCCTACTATACCTATATATATATACATATACATAAAATAGATAATATATATATATACATATAATATAATATAATATAATGATAATAATTAATAATAATAATAGTACTAATATGAATATATATATATATACACATTATATACTTGTATTATATATATATATATATTATTTTTTATATTATATAATATTATACTATATATATAGCGTATATATTATACACTATATATATATATTATACATAATATGATATGTTATATATGTCCAGGTTCTTGGGTCCCCCCCTCCTCCCACACCCATGGTCATGGTATCCCCCCAACCCCCCTTTGGGTGTGGGTTGGGGTGGGAGGTAGTTATGTATGCAGTGTGTTCATGGTATCCACCCTCCCCTGTGGTGTGGGTTTGGGTGTGAAGAGGGTAGTATTTGCTGTGTGGGGAATATATAATAGCTGGTGCATTCAAATGAGTGGCACATAGGTGCTATGTGGTACTATGTAGTACACATGTATGTAGTACACTGGTAGTGTTTATCTATTTGTAACCGTGTTATATAGATAGTACATAGGCAGTGTAGAGGTAGTACATATGTGGAGTGTATAGTATTATAGGTAGCAAGTATGTAGAACATGCAGGTACTATAAATACATGTACATATATACACATACATGATACATGTATATACATTTTTTTCATTATTATGAGGTATGTAGGTAGTGTATGTGGTTGCCCCCTCCTCTGTGGTGTGGGTGGGGGGGATTGGGGGTTGATGCAGCTTATCAGTCGTAGATGAGTAGGACAGAGGTAGTCCATAGGCACGCTATGAGTGGTATACAGGTTGCATACAAGCATGCAAAGGGTAATATATAATTGTAGGGTTAAATATGAGTAGTTTATAGATACGCCATTGATCGTCTATAAGTGGAAAACATACATAGATAGATGTATATGGGTAATATGTAGACAGCATGCAGGTAGTACATAGATAGTACGGAGGTATTTGTAGGAAGTATACGGCTCTAAAAGATTCTAAATTGCTGCACATAGGTTGCAAGTGGAAGGTTGTGGCTCTGAAATGCTGCAAATAGCATGCAAATGGGAGGCCGTGACTATGAAATGCTGCAATGCTGCAAATAGCATGCAAATGGGACATTTTTTTTGGAAAGGGAGGGGTACCATACCATTTGGGGGGAGGGGTGAAGAGGGGCACGTAGGTTAGATCAGCTAGAGCGTCTTCCCAAGACAGCTTCACACCTTTTGTACCTGGCCAATAGCCAGTCGGTGCGGTGTCCACAGGAATAGTCTATATCTCTCTTGAGCCTTGACAGCGCATGTAAATGTGCTCAATACTCATGCTATATCCACATAGGATCCAAGCCCAAACAAAACACAGGCACAAATTCAAAGGCAATGAGTAGAGCACTACGCTTTGTCGTACCCAATTGAGAATAAGAGTTAGAGCCTGCAACTATACGACACGTTGGCTAATCAGCAAAAATGAGCGGAAGTCACGCAGTGGTTTCTTTACATACACAACGAATGCAGGCGGATTGAAAGCGACAGAATTGTCCTAAGGACATGTCGAAGTGAAAGCAGCGGATTCGCTAATTATTTTTCCGACAATGGTGCGCGAAGCACTGTCGTTCCAAGCAAAATGCTCTGCCGGTGTGAAAAGTTCTTCCTATAAACGCTCGAACGGCAAGATTCAGAAATTGAGGTCAGATGGAAAGCGATTGACCGAATCACAAAATAAACGGATACAGCGGATCTCCAAAGTCACTTCTTCAAGCGGACAATGGACAAAATTCGGAGTTGGTATACTTGATTCGTTCCATTTGCAACTATTCTGCTCGGTGAAAATGTGTATGGAGACAAATGCGATATTATCTCTATCTACAGGAGTATATATCTACATTAAATTGAAATTCCGACACAGTAGAGGCATTATCTCTAACTAAAAGAGTAAATGCCATCTTGTGTAAAATTTAATACTCTGTTTTGGTATGATCCCTCGCTATCAAGAGTGTATACCTTTTCTTGTGAATAAGAAATGATCTCACAGAAAAACTGTACTGAGCAAATCATGCTGTGTTATTTTCATCGCTGGAAGTATACACTCACCTGTGTTTCATTGTTTTTCGGTCTCCATGTTCTTGGTGATGAAGCTGAGGAATCACCATAACCAGTCTCATTCCAGTTGCTCCAAGACTCATCGCCATAACCTTTTCTCTTGTTCGACTTTTGCGTAGCCTTCCTCTTCTCCATGCGTCTTATTTCATCTCATAGGGAATATAGGCACGCTTTTCTGTCCAAATTGTATCTGAAGGTTTCAAGTGAACAAGAATAGGGTTGTGAGCGTCTCTGTCTGTAGGTGCCACCATGAAGATGTTGTGATCAAGCACGTCTCATTAACCCTGAATGTAAACTCACCAATAAAAATCCATGTGATCTTGATCATGAAAACGACTGATATCTTCCTCATACTCCAATCTAGCATGTCCCCACTCAGCGATAGATAACATACAGCAACCACCACGATCTTCTGTCTTCTTCGCGAGTTCTGCGGTGATGTGGCTGTTGTAATGCCATCTAGGTGTGTTGCAAGAAAATCAAGATCTCGATAACTACAGGAGATAAAGTGCTTGACCCTGACAGGTGGACAATCTCCAAAGTGTTTGCGTCTTGATTGTGTTGCCACATTCATCATCTTGTTGATCCAGTACTGCAAAAGACTGCATTCGTACGTGGGAACTCCTCCGGCTTTTGGAGTTGCAAGGTAACATGCCTTGTTCCCGTCGCCTGCGATCACGTCAGCTTGATAACGGGCACGCTCAAAGGCCATGCGCGCAATGCACTCCCCTGTGATGCCGGGAGAATCTGAGACATGCTTCTGTCCGACGTGGTAGACACACACACACACGGCACATGTTCATTCGAGCTCTTGTGTGTGAAAACCAGCAATTCGTCGAACATAGCCTTCTTTTCCAAGATGAGCAGCTACCATCAAGTCATGATAATCATTGAAGCAAGTAGTAAATCGCTCCTCTTCAAGCAGTTCCTTGTGAGGATACAGGCTACCAGCCTCGCAATTCATAAACAGATGTGCTCCAAGATTCTTGACAACGTTGATGAAATAGTTGTTGAACCTCGGCTTGTCGCCAAACTTCTCATGCTCACTGTTCAGTTCGTAATCAATGTGTGGTGCAAACTTTTGTAGTCGTTCAGGTAATGGACATTTGCTGAAGCGTGTTCTGCACCAATTTCCAAGATTCCAAAACATCAGTGAGAATTGTGGAGAAGATCGGTAAGGATGTGTTTCATCATAGTATGTGGGGTCAAACATGCCTCCTCCGAGATATCTGGAAGCTAAGCATTGCAACACAATGCAGTAAGGTAAGACTTTGTGATCTTCCACCTAACACTCCGATACCGCTGTTAATGAGCTGAAATCATCTTCATATCTCTCTTTTCTGCTTCTTTAGCTGCTTCTTCTGAATGTTCTTGTTGTCGTGGTTGAAGTCTAGGATCACCGCAGCTATATTCACATGTGTCCTTGATATCTTCTAGTTCTTTCAGTGGGAACTCATCTTTATGCCTGGCAATGTATTCTTCCATCAACTGATCATCTGTGTTGGTATACCAGTGGTCTTGATGAGGTGCCATGGTCTTTCTGTACTTTACATGCCAGAAGATACGTCGATGTTGAGTTGAAGCTGGATAACCTTGATTGTAGAACCTGCCCATTCACCATGATAGCCATCAGTAAAATACCTGGAAAGTTTTCGAAAAACTGAATCATCCTCATTTCCAGTGATATCGGCACCGTAGTAAAGTCTTTTGGCCTGTTCAGGTTTAGGAGCCGTGTCATCTTTTTGAAGATCTGCCTGTGATTCCCCTGATACCTCTGTCTGAGCAGAGCCATTTAGGTGGAACTGGTTCCTCTTTCTGCGAAGAGTTTCCAGCCTTTGATTCAGACAGAAATGAATCATCTGTCTGACACTCCATGCTCACCGTAGTTGGAGGTGGCACAGTAGGCTCCTGAGGTTCCTCTTGTTCTTCTTCAACTTCAACATCTTCTTATTTTGTCTCTTGTTTGACAACTCTTTCCATGATCTTCTGCTGAACAGTCTTGCTGTACACACTGAGCCACTTGATGGTGCATTCAATCAAATCATCATCTTCTGTTTCCAGAATAATATGGTTGTTCTCACGACTCAGACTCTCAAACTCAGGATCAGCGCGGCCTTGGTCTTCACGACGTTGAAGAGGAATGTTTGGATCATCATCCATGAGGTCTGGTTCTTCAACATTCTCAAAATTGTCCTGTGTGGCATTCTTGTTGGCCTCAAATACCTTTTTCAGTTCAAGACGAAATTCATAACACTGTTCATCTGTGATGTGTGTGTGCGAGTCGATGGTGCAAAGATTTCCATGAAATTCTTGTGAGATTCATGTACAAGATATTCCAGCATCTTCAACATTGAAAAGTAGCCAATTTCTTCATAAGGTAGTGGTGATCTGCCTTCCATATCGGCTACAGAGAGAACATTTTGTGAATTGAATGCCATGTTTCTCAGCAGTTCTTGATGTTCAGGTTTGAGATGCCTGATAATGTAGTATCCATACCTATCCTCAGGTCTACTGATTCTCGATATATCCAACTCAGGTATCTCTGTCTCTTCAGAGTGTCCTGCTTGTTGGGATGTTTCCTCTCTCTCCTGAGAGCTTACATCTTCTTCTTTCCTTGTCTTCTCCTGAGGCCTGACAATCACTTGCAGTGTTGGTAGGAATTGTACTTCTTCCTGAATATCATCATCATCATCATCATCCATATCGACATCATCAGCTTGATCTTTTGGCACATGAACCATCTTTTCAGTGTTTGCAATCCAATCATATCCATCAAGCTTTGTAGATATATGGAATTTACCTGAACCTAGATCTTTTGCCTGGGTTCTTACACGTGCAGATTGATGAAATGCTTCATGTTGGAAGAATTGGTTGTAGGCATGCTCCACGAAGAATCTGTAGGATTGAGCTGTCATATCTTTCCTGCTGTCTACACACTGGGTGGGCTTTTTGTAGGCGAAGTTGGTGTAGGGACAGAAATCTCTTGGAGCTTCATTCTGGTACAGATCAACTGTCAAAACCATCCAAAAACCATCAGCTTCGTGGAGAACGAGAAGTGGGTTTCTGGATCTGGAATGATGGTCTTCTTGTTCATGGGAACCTTGGCATTTGGAGTTCCAGTCCAGTCTCATTTCTATCATCATCATAACTTTTCTTGCAAAAGTCTCCCCACATTCTGTCATTCTCTCCGATCAACTTGTCGAGATGCTTTTTGTAGAATTGATACACAGCCTATGCAAACCATTCAAGATCTTCTTGAATCATCAAATCACGTTCATACAGAAGCCAATTTTCCGACCATTGCTCTCTCTCTCTCTCAATGTCAAATCTGTCTTCCCAACCTGGTGGTTACCCTTGTCCTCTCAACCAGTCTGTGTGATTGTATCTACACTCTTCCAGGAGTGCCTCGAGTCTCGGCGTCTCCCAGTGAGATCGATGTAGTAGCTACTGCATTGCTCATCCAACCAGGGGGTTCCAGGAGGCTTTGGTGCAGACCCAGCTGAGGTATTTCGAGCGCTTGGCTTCACAGCACGCTTCGGAAAGATCTGTAAAAATGAAACGTTGCGGCTGTTGGGGATACCACCAAAGCTTATTTTATATAGTAGATTATTTTATATTTCATACTCTATTATATATTTATCAGTTCTCATCAGAACGATTCTTGCTTGGTTTCTTTCAGAGCCCTCGCCGAGGTTCAGCTGCCCAGCTGCCTACATTGTTATTCAGGCTTCGGTACATACGGTTTTTCTACAGCTTAGACACTGAAACATATTGGGATACATTTAAACTATTGCCCTCTAAACAATGCCCCTGACAGTCTTGTGGGGGATTACTGCTGACAGGCCTACCGGATTACATTTTGATTCATTCTTCTTTTTCCTTTGAACTAAGCACGTTTTTATGTCACTCACCTCTACCAGTTCTGCTGCGCTGTTACTATGTGATCGGTCATCATGACATATGTCATCCTGACGGTCATTAGGCAGTGATGTCCCTATACTCGTCGGGGAGAACCACTGGCACGGTAGTGGACTCTGGAGACGGGGTCACACACACAGTGCCTGTGTACGAAGGCGACCAATTGGTCACCAGCTTTGAGACTTCTGCTTTTGAATAATTATGCTTGCAACATCTTGCAACATCTTGCAACACGTTTATTCCCCAACAACAGCGTAAGCTAATGGGGTCTTCAGCCCAGAATAGCTCCGGTGTGCACTGGTGGAGGCGCCGGGTCGTGTTCAACGAGGTTTCGGAGAAGGTTCGAAAGGTTCAGGAGAAGGTCTGGGAAGCTTTGGTAGAATGTTCCGGAGAAGGTTCCGGAGAAGGTTCCTGTGAAGGTCTAGGAGGCTTTGGTGCAGCCAGGTCAGGTTCAACAGGGTTCCGGAGAAGGTTCCGGAGAAGGTCTGGGCCTGGGAGGCTTTGGTGACAGGGTTCTGGGTTCCAGCAAGCCTTGCTCCAAAGCCAAGTCAGCTTCAACGGGTTCCGTAGAAGGTTCCGGAGAAGGCTTGGGAGGCTTAAGTGCAGAGAAGGTTCCAGAGCAGGATTGGGAGGGTCAGGTTCAAGAGGGTTCCGGAGAAGGTTCCGGAGAAGGTTCCGGAGAAGGTGGTGTGGGAGGCGGTTCCGGAGAAGGTTCCGGGAGGCAGTGTCAGGTCAGGTTCAACAGGGTTCCGGAGAAGGTTCCGAAGAAGGTCTGGGAGGCTTTGGAGCACGCCGAGGTGTTCCCAGCTCTTGGCTTCGCAGCATGCTTCAGAAAGATTGGTAAAAATAAAATGTTGCGGCTGTTGGTGATACCACCGAAGCTTATTGTGTTTTTTACCAATGGATGTCTCGGCATGAGAATTCCTGTGCGCTGTGTAACTGTGTAGTTTCCGCAGGCTATGCGCTTCCCCACGCGATTCAGAGGCCTGCCACAGCTCGTGCTGCAGTAGACCTCTGCAAAGAGTGGTGCACCCCAAATTGCTGCTATTCCTGGCTTTCCGAGGCTTGACTTGGCCGGTAGGGACCTTTCAGAATACATGACCAAGGCACATGTTCACATCGGTTTCTTCAACATCGTTCAACACGGTTTAAGACAGTCTTCCAGATGCACATTCAACAGACACACCTTATTGCCTTATGGTGTGATGCAATCAGGTTCTCCTTGAAAGCGGCTGCAGCATGAGTTCTTCATCTGAAAAGGATATAGTGCGGGAAATGAAGGACGGCTATGAAGATGAGTTTCCTGGACTGACAACAGAGATTTGCAGCAATGGGTTTATCATGTCTTATCAGGAAAACCTGTGCTATGTTTGCAGCGGAGACTGGAAGACGGAGATGCAATCCGCGCAG